GTTGTTCCATTACCTATCTAGGTAACATCATCAGTGCTAGTGAGTGTGGAGTTTGCTCCCTGTTTATATACAGTACATTAGCACTGATGATTATCTATCTAGTCAGGTAAAATATATGCAAGCTAACGACCAAGTTTAGAGAGCACCTGGGACTAACATACTTATATGCAATTATGCATATACAAAGTTGCATATTTTCAAACTGTGCAATGATATTTTGACTTTACCATTTGTTTATTGCAAGCAACAGATTATAATGCAACATAAATTTCATGGTTCATGGGAAAATGTAGCAGGAGGACCAGTGATTGATTGAGTTTCCCAAATGTATGGTCGAAACATAATTTTTTTCATTGTGCTAAAACATATTTATGATGGATCTAATTGGAACCTGAAATGAAGTCTCTCAAGAAATCCTAGGATTATAGGCTTACCTAATAAGTAAAAAAAAATAATCCCGAGAAAGGATTACCAATCAATTTCTGTTTGTTGCCAAAAAAGGAGAAAGGAGAAAGGAAAACAGAAAAAGGAAGGAAAAAGAAAGAAAGAAAGAAAGAAAGAAAGAAAGAAAGAAAGAAGGAAGGAAGGAAGGAAGGAAGGAAGGAAAGAAAGAAAGAAAGAAAGAAAGAAAGAAAGAAAGAAAGAAAGAAAGAAAGAAAGAAAGAAAGAAAGAAAGAAAGAAAAAGAATGGGTCAGTGTAGCCATCAAAAGTCAGCTTTGATTGCATCTAATGGCTTTCTTATACAGTAGAGCAGGAGTGGGGAACCACGTGGACTTCAACTCCCAGAATGCAGACTTCATGGCTCAGGAATTCTGGGAGTTGGAGTCCACAAGTCATAAAGGTGCCATGGTTCCCCACTTCTCCAGTAGGTGTCAAGAACAAACAGAACTTGTAGCTCTCCAAACAACTGTAGGAATAGCAGATCTGAGACCCAAAAATAATAGAACTGAAAAGTGGAAGACGATCGTTCAGCTGCACCTCAAGTTCTTTTTGCTATGAACCGCGACCATTTGTAGTTCTTTTCCCTTATATTATCGACAGCTGGGATAACTCTACTTACTCCATCACTTGCCATGGACTCAATATACATTAAACCAGTAGGAAACCTATAGCTGTTTAGATGTTGCTGAACTACTGGCATCCGTCACCATTAGCTATGCCACCTGGGGCTCCTAGAGACGGTTAGTTCTTTCTTGCTCTTTGGGAAAAAAGAAAATTGTAAGAGCTGATTTCTAGAGGGTGAACATCTGCACTGCATTTTAAGCACCCTTCCTGAACCTATGGCAGACTGAGGATGTGAATGTTCAGATGTAATTTATGTGATCGAGTCTGCTCATACCTTGGGGGATTAAATGAACCATTTGTGGAGGTTTTTTTTGTTTTGTTTCTCAACGTCAGGCACTTTGCAAGGCAACGGCTAATCAGTACAGAGCAGGTAATGACTGCATTCATTTTAACCCTGGAAACAACTTGCTAAACATTATTTCTTGACAAGGCTGCAAATGATCCATCCTCATTTTCTCCAATTATTTCCTGAAATTTCTTGCAATTATGCTGCAATTTTATTCTAGAGGACAACTTGACAAAATGTGCACTCCTCTTATCGGCTTTTTGTTTTAGTCGATACTTGCTTTCAAACAGAAAAGCTTCATGAATGTGGTATTCTGTTGTACGTTTTGCTACAGTTCCTGGCATCAGATATATCTATTTTTTTTTCTCCCCTTACGGTTTAAACTTTCCTATGCTGTATTTCATAAATGTTTTGGTGGGTGAGAAATGCTCGCGCTGAATAGTTTGTCATTTCCAAGGGGGGTGATAAGTGTTGCTGAAGATGTGGTATGATTTGCAAACTCACTAACTTGATGAAGGGCATTTTGACCAGGGACAAAATGTTTCCCTCACATGTGCATCTAATGATAGCCACAGTCCATCAGGAGAGCATGAATGAATATGGTTGTGAGAGAAGATAAATGGGTTATAAACTAGCAACTGGTTTGTTCCCGTCCAACCAAAGTAACTAAACAATCAGATTTCTGCCAGGTGTGATCATTGTTAGCTGAGCAGCATATGAGGCTTAAAAGGGGGACCAGAGAAATGAACCAAGAGTTTTGGTGCCCAATGTAGGCCATACCAGTCCATGGTGGTGCAGTGGTTAGAATGCAGTATTGCAGGCTAATTCTGCCCACTGCAAGCAGTTCGATCCTGGCAGGCCTCAAGGTTGACTCAGCCTTCCATCTTTCCGAGATGGGTAAAATGAGGGCCCCGATTGTTGGGGGCAGTAGGTTGACTCTGTAAACTGCTTAGAAAGGGCTATAAAGCACTGTGAAGTGATACATAAGTCTAAGTGCTATTGCTATTCTGTTCTGTTGCCATAGCGGCACAATGGTTAGAATGCAGTATTGCAGGCCGACTCTGCCCACTGCCAGGTGTTTAATCCTGACCGGTTCAAGCTTGACTCAGCCTTCCATTCTTCTGAGGTCAGTAAAATGAGGATCCAGATTGTTGGGGGTAATATGCTAACTGCAAACTGCTTAGAGAGGACTTTAAAGCACTGTGAAGCGGTATATAAGTCTAAGTGCTATTGCTATACCCATGACTCTTTATATGCAGGGTCTCCTTATCTTCAAAATGGTTTTATAGCCTCGCTTTCTCAACTTCTCTATTGTTTATAGCAGGGGTGTCAAACTGCCGGCCCGTGGGCCGGACTCGTCATCCGGAAGCCGCCCCCACCCCATTGCTGGCAATGGCAAAACTGTCCCGATACGTTGCGTGACGTCACGTGACATCGTGAGTTTGACATGTCTGGTTTACAGGGAGTCCTCAACTGGCAACCATTCATTTAGTGACTATTTAAAATTACAGCATCACAGAAAAAAAGTAATTTAGGACTTTTTTTCACACTTAGGACTGTTGCAGCATCCGTGATTAAAATCTGGTCGATTGGCAAGTAGCAAATATTTATGATACTTGAACTGTCTCGGGATCATGTGATCACCATTTGTAACCTTCCCAGTCGACTTCCAACAAGCAAAGTCAATGGGAAAGCCAGATTTGTTTAATGGCCACATGATTCACTTAACAGTTATAGTCATTTGCTTAACAACTGTGGCAGAAAATGGTCATAAAATGGGGCAAAACTCACTTAACAACTTCCTTAGGGCTCAATTGTGGTCGTAAGTCGAGAACTACCTGTATTGTAATGTTGTCATTTTAACGATCTTTGTTTTGCCAGCTCTAGTGCTGTAAGTTTTCTGAAGGAAAGCAGCTATAACGTTTCTCGGCCTCCGCAACTTGAAGAGCTGTGGACTTCAACTCCCAGAATTCCCCAGGCCAGTTGAAGTCCACACCTCTTCAAGTTGCTATGTGGCAGTTGCTGGATGTCAATGAATCTGGCAACGACAAGTGGATTTACTTCTAAGTAGTTCTTTATTGTTGATCGTCTACAAATAAAATCTTGCCAGACAAAAGTAACTATCTTCATAACTATTAGATATACTCTGTGAATTGCTAGGGAGGCTCCATCTTCACTGTCTTCCTGCCTACCAGACACTTCAAGCTCCCCTGGGAAAGAGCCCCTCCCTTCTATAACTCTGCACTACATTCCACCACACTGGAGAAACACTGGCAACACATGGTTGTCAATCACTGTCCAGGTATCTCAAAGGGCCCTACGCTTTCCCCTGCATTGACTCATATTCCCATTTATTTATTTATTTATTATTTTCCCATTACTTTAAACCTCTGGTGGTGGATAATTAATCTAATGAGAGCCAGTATGGTGTAATGGTTAAAGATCATGCTAGAATCTAAGAGACTCTGAGTTCTAGTCCCACCTGAAGCAACAAAAGCAGCTAAGTGCCCTTGGGCCAGTCACTCTTTCTCAGCCCTAGGAAGACGGCAATGGCAAACCACTTCTGAAAAGCCTTGCCAAGAAAAACGCAAAACTAGACACAACAAAAGGAAAAAGAAACCTAACAAAGCATACAAATACATGTACTTTTATGAGTCAGCCTGTACATAGCTCAAGTAGAAATTAAAAATTAGCTTTCCCATTTAACCAAGCCCCATTTTTTCCTCCCCTTCCTTTTCCCTAATGCAAATTCTAGATTCTAGGATTCTTGAGAACAGGGTCCTATGTTTTGTTTCTTGTAAAGTACCCCATGTGTTGATGTACAATGTATCGTGCAGATTACTACTTAATTAAAATAGTTTTCTTCCCTGCTTATAAAATCTGAATAATGGTCAGGCAAGAGGTAGGTGAGTCCGTAAAAGGAATGGGGGGCGGGCTGGAAAATGTATCAAAGGGGACCCTCCCTAGTTTCTTGGTCTGTAAAGGTGAGGGATGGAGAGATGTACTTTCAAACTTGCAAGATTCTTTTAATATAACCTTATAATAAAATTAGTGCAACTACTTGTTGTTGTGCTTCTTATCTGAATGTATCATGGCAAAACCTGATTTCACTGTTTGCAAATTATGCCACATTAACACCTGAGCAAATCTTTGTGCTTCAAAGTATACATCAGAGGTCCCCAACCTTTTGGGCATCAGGGACCAGTTCTGTGGAGAAAGATTTTTCTGTGGACCGGAGAGTGCATGGTTTTGTGTGCTGCCTGCATCCCACAGATGGGGCTTTGCTTGTTTGTGCGGACCAGTTGCTGGCATGCCACGGCCTGGTACCGGTCCACAGACCGGCGGTTGGGGACCCCTGGTATATGTGACGGTTCTATTATTTCACTGCTTTTTGCTCTCTTGTTATATTATTTGTATTTTCAATTTTTTACAACCGTCTATCAATGCATTCATATTCATCGGTGACTACTGAATGGCACATCTTTAGAAAGCATAAACAGTCTGTTCACGGAATAGGACAAGTTTTGTCTTGAGTCCAACTTGGAAGTCTACTGTTTCTTTCTAAAGATAATCCACTAACAAGCTTTGGGAAATGTAATCTCCATAGAACTTACACAGAGGTATAGAGTATTCTGGCGTTCCACTCACCCTAACAAGCTGCTGTGGGAAGGGTCCTCTCGAATTTTCTGGTACGTTGATTGGCGGGATGACCCAATCTCGCTTTTGACGCCTGAGTCCATAAGAATTCTGGTGATGACGCCACTGGAGCAAAATATTGCCAGGTTCTTGAAGGTGTGCTGTCGTGTTCTTCTTTCCTTTCTGTTGATTTGGGAAAGAAGCGAGGGGGGAAAGGGTCATTATTTTGCTTTTGTCGAGTTTCATTAAACAACGGCAAACAAAAACAAGGAGTCAACAATAATCCAGTTATGTTTTCTTGCTCTCCCATGCGTGAGAGAAAAAAAACACTAGTCAATTGCTATGTTGAGGCTTGTTTGAGCTGGAAAATGCCTGAAAATAATAATAATATTGTTCTTATAATAAACAAACATTTCTGCATTACAGCAGCATGTGGTGCTTTTATTGACATCTGTGCCATGGCTTCATTTTTTTTACTGGTGTTTGGAGCTGTCATTAGACAATCAAGCCTTCTTTCACGACGGATTGTCTTCATTACACCAGCGGCAGGAAGCTTGATCAGCTCCTTGGAGGATGAAAATCTGCAGATTTCTAATAAATATAATCAATCACAAGAGCCAAATGAAACAAGCCACAAATGCAGCATTACCAGCGGTAGGTCAAACACCATTATAAACGAGCATTCGTCAATAGCTCTGAATTTTAAAGCAGGACTGAAAGTTGTCAGGAAAGATCCAATACACCTAGTCCTCACCTTAAACAACCACAACTGAGACCAGAATTTCCATTGCTAAATAAGGTGGTTGATAAGTGAGTCACTCCAATTTTGTGATCTTTTTTTGGCACGGTTGTTAAGGGAATCACTGCGGTTGTTAAGTGAACCATGCAAGTAGGTGAACCTGGCTCCCCCCATTGACTGCAGGTTGAAAGCCAGCTGGGAAGGTTAAAAATAGTGATCACATGATCCCAGGACTTTGCAATTGTCATAAATGCATGCCAATTGCCAAGTGCTTGACTTTTGATCATGTGACTGTGGGAAAGCTATAATAATCATAACTGTGAGGAATGGTTTTAAGTCACTGCTTCCAGTGCTGTTGCAACTCTGAATGGTTGCTAAATGAATGGTTGTATGTAGAGGACTACCTGTACCAATTCATCACAGCTAGGAAGAGACAGCCAGTTTGATCTAGTGCTGAAGGTACCTGTCTAGAAACAACCAAGAGATAGTGAGTTCTAGTCTCACCTTAGCCATGAAAGCCAGCTGATTGACTTGGGTCAGTTGCTCTTTTTCAGCCCAACCACCTCATGGGGTTGTTTTTGGGAGGAAAATGGAAAGAGGAAGGAATTGTCAAGAATGAAACTTTGGCAGCTACATGCCTCTTCATTTCAACTTGCCATTAAAGTAAGGGGAGGGAAGTGTTGCTTTAGAATGGGTTAGATGGAGAAACGAAACTGCTATGATTCCACTGAGAGACGGAAACCTTTTCAAGGGCACTGCAGCAGGTGTGGAGAGGAAGCAGACGGTTCCCATAACAAAGTGAAATTGTTTACAAGGACTACGTGAGAGGGTGGGGGTTTGGCTGGAGAAATTATTGTTTAATTCTATGAACTGGTATCTGGGAACCTCAAGTTAGTTTTGCTTCAACATTACCATGCCGTGTATTCAATAAACAGCAAGATATTCAGAAACAAAATGAACCTAGAGTTTTATTTGAATTCTCGAGTTGGGTGTTGACAGGAGTATTCAATATGTTCACCACCCTGAGTCATGTATAAAAAATAATAAGATGGGATTTAAAAAAAGTTCCTAAATAAATTTAGATTTCCTGGGCTTCCTCAGTATTATATTCCCTGCCAAGAACAGAGGAGTAGAATTGGGCAGGAGCTAATGTCTTGAACTTGAACAGAGAGATTGATGTTCAAGTCTCCACATAAACATAGATCTCCCTAGATAATTGTGGACCCATCCTTTATCTTAGCTGACCTACCTTTGTTAAGAAACACATATCCCACATATCTCACTCTCAACAGAAAAGGAAGAACATAAAGGTAGTAATGAGTAAAATCAAAATAAATTGAAAAGTGAAAGAAATATAGTATGGTAGCATCTGGGATCATAAGGTACCATGACCAGAGATTGTGTTATCACAGTAACAGTTCTTATTAAGACTACTTAGAAGCTGATGTGGAGAAAAACATTTCTGTTCGACTTATCAACTTAGAGGTTGTGTATCTTGTTATGAATGTGTCTAACTATTAAGTAGATGGAAGAAGCTCTCTTAAGAGACTTTCCAAAGTTTGTTGATTTCTACATGAGAAAAAATCCTCTGTGCTCCCCAGAGCCATTGAGCTCTGTGTTCCCCAGAGCCATCCTCTGTGTTCCCCAGAGCTTTTTTAGTCATGACTTACCTACTTAAAAAAATCACGCCTTTAAAATTCATGATTGTACAACCTCCTTTTTAAATTCTTATTTTTTCATTCCTCTTTATTACAGCTGTGCAACCCTTTGGATTCAGTTTCCAAAACACGAATAGAGCATTAGTCTGCAGTGCTCTTTAAAGCAGCTGCATCCTTTACCAAAATCACAGAGCTCCCCACTGCCATTGCTCTATGCTCCAGGGGGGAAAACACAGCTGCTTTAAAATGTTGCAGGCAGATGCTAAATTTGTGCTCTTGGGCACTTTAAAGTACCTTTTAGAGATCAAATCCAGAGTGCTGTTTTCACAATCCTACTTTGTGTAATTTAGTATTTCATTATTTTGTCTCTTTCTTCTTAGCTGCCTGGGGTGCCCAAGAGATGGGAGAGTGAGGTAACTACTACTTGCATGGAAACCTGGTGACCTGAATAGAATTAAGAGATTTAGAGTGAATTGGTTTCAACTTTCCTAAATGGACTGTATACAGCTGCTCCTGTATCTTCCTCGTGCTGTAGCACTAAGTCCTTAGGGAATATCATTTAATCTCCTTCTGCCATTCTCGATGCTTTTATAAGAGCAGTCAAGGCACAGCTCTTTTGAATGGGATCTTTTCTTCATTATGTTTAAATACTTATTTTAAATGTTTTGTTTTTGTCTCTTGTATTTTAATTTTTGTTAGCCAATGCTAAAGTGCCCTGAGACTTTAGAATTGAAACAAACAGGAACTTGCCACATAACACTCCAGACTTCACACCTGTTGATAAGAAAGACAAAAGAGTCTGGATAGTGGATGTGGCAATACCGAAAAACAGCAGAATAAAAGAGAAAGGACTGGAGAAGATAACAAAATATAAAGACCTGCAAACAGAAATAGAATGACTGTGCCAAAAGAAAACCAAGGTACCACCAATAGTCATAGATGCCAAGGTTGCAATCCCCCAAAAACTGGAGCACCATCTGAACACTATCGACATTGACAAATTTACCACCCATCAATTGCAAAAGGCAGTTTACTTGGAACAGTTTACATCCTGAGACAATACCTCTAACACTACGAAACATCAACATGTGCCTATCCCAGGTCTTGGGAAGGACTCGATAGGTAGATAAAAATGCCAAATCCACTCTGAACATCTGGCTGATTATATGATAAACTATAACAATAGTGATAGAAATGATAACAACAGCATGACAAAGTCGCAACAATGGTGTTCAAAAATTGGTGAGAAATACCATTTCCCTGTAAACAAAAAGTTGGTGGGATCATAAAATAAAGAAAGTCATAGAATATGAAGAAGCTAAATTGCTCTAAGAAAAGGGTAGGCAACCTTGGCTCTTTTATGACTCGTGGACTTCAACTCCCAGAATTCCTGAGCCAGCCATGCTGGCTCAGGAATTCTGGGAGTTGAAGTCCACGAGTCATAAAAGAGCCAAGGTTGCCAACCCCTGCTCTAGGACTTTAGAATTCAAGCAGACAGACATGGAAGTATCTGGAGACAGCAGAAGAGAAGAGAAAGGACTGGAGGTAATCACAAAATACAAAGACCTACAAAAAGAAGCAGATTTGTGGCAAAAGCAAGCAAAAGTAGTACCGGAATAGTGGATCCCCAAAAAAGGAATCTTCAAGGCTTTGAAGGCCATAAAAGATAATCTTTATTGAATACACATCTCAGAACTGAAGAAGCAAAACCTGCTCCGGTTTTTCCGTGCAAAAATCTACCTAATTAAACAATAGCTTCCCTTAACCCTCATCCACTGGGTGTTCATGTTACCCAATTATAACTCTTAGGTTTGTTATGAGAACTATCCACTTCTCCATCAGACACATGTTAGTGACCTTGGCATTCTTGCATGCTCTCACTGTCTGTGAACGGCTTTATAGAATCCTGTTTTCTCCCTATGCTTTCTACCCCTCCCCCGTTTCTCTGATAAGTTGAGTACCGATAGAAGTTAGCAGGCATCTTAGTAATTCAACCTTGACACTACCAATAGTAAGAGGTGCCTTGGATGCAATCCCAAAATAACTGGAGCACCACTTGAACATCATTGGCATTGACAAAATAACCATTAGTCAATTACAAACAGCAGCTTTACTTGGAACAGTTTACATCCTGCAACAGCTTACATCCTGCATATCTTTAATCCCTCAGACATCAACATTTGTCTATTCCAGGTCTTTGGGAAGGACTTGATAGGTGGATAAAAATGCCAAATCTATTGTGAAAATCTGGATGGCTATGTGACAAATTTGAGTTGCTGCTATTATGGGCAGGGGTGTCCACAGGCAAAGGGTATCAAAACAGTCAAGACTGTAGCTATGAGATTACTGTTAGAGGTGGGACTTACAACATGGCATTAGAAATACCATCTTTATTCAAATTTTATTTAGAAAAAAGTATATAACTGTGAATATGGAATCATTTTTGCCAGCAGATGGAATCAGGTTGTCAATCTTGTATCATTGATCTATAGCAGACATGTCAAACACAAGGCCGGGGGCCGGATGCGGCCCGCGAAGTGGTTTCATGTGGCCCACGAAGCCATCCTGGAAACAGTGAGGGAACAGCCCCCACTGCCTTGGCCCTGGCCCAGGCCAGCCGGGAGCCAATGTACAATTTTGCGGTGGCCATCTATGCTGAAATGTATTCAGTCTTAGCTCCATAAGCCCCCCCCCCCCGCATGGCCTGAAAGGAACAGTGAGGCTCCTCCAGTGGACCATGCCTTGGCACTTGCCCTGGTCCCACCCCTTCTGGCAGAGACCCTCAG